TTGCTACCCTGTGTTTAAATATTTTAATATCTTTAATTTGATGCTTCGTGGTATTATAACGAGCATTATGGTGGTCCCATCTAAAATATGAGCCAGATAAACCAGAGAAAATAGTCCAAACGTATTCCTTATTATGCCTTGATTGTTCGCAAATTCCTCCAATAGACCTGTGTATAGATATGAGAATACACTCAATTATGGTGCCTCGAATCTCCGAAGCGCCTCTCTATAAATAGACAGATATACTACTAAATAAATGAATATAAACCTTATAAACAAATATATTGTAACAGCATATATTAATAATTCACTAAATTGTTTAATGACATTATATGTTACTGTATGCAGTGATACAATTTAGAGCTACATATTGATGTGAAATTCAGGCAATTCATTCGTCTACAAGCATAACCAAATAATAAACGGGTAACTGAAATTGTTGAAAGTGTATTCGCCAGTGAAAAACTGCCGCCATTTTAAAAAATAATCGCTGGATTATTATCCTCCGATTCGCATGCGATTACGCTTTAGTTTGAAGATTCACATTTATATAAAATTTCTAACTACAGTATGTGCTTTGTAGATAATGTTTTGTTTAAAACTTATTTTATGTCATTTATAGACCCATCCTGACACAGTGGTGTTTGCAGTTTTCCATCCGAATGACGATAATTGTATTATCACTGGCGGCAAGCAGCATCTCTACTTCTGGAGAGTGATGAGCAGCAAAATACTACGCGATAAAAAGAGTGGAGTGTTCGAGGTATGCAAATTACTATATAAATTATCACCAGTTTCTTCCGTAGACGAGCTTATCTTTTCCCTGTTACCGTTACCGTGGCATTGCTATAGCAACACTTAGCACTCATCGACTTGCGTAGATAGCACGTGCGTTTATAAAGTAGGGAATTTAAAGGGCGGTGGTCGTCGCACAGCACGTGTTAAGTTTTTTTTTTGTAAACAATATATTTTACACGCGTTGTATACGTCGCTATGAGTCCCATATCGAACAGGACGCGGCACGACGACTGCCGCCCTTTAATATCCTTAACAAATACAATTTCAAAGATGAGAATAACTGTCCAATTTCATTGATAAGGACATTTTCATTTATATGAAAGTATGGCGTGAATAATTATGTTAGTCATATATTTATCTGATAATAACACACTTTCCAGTCCTATCCAGAATTATTGAATATTTTCGCTGTGACAAACTGTTTATTCGCACAGTTTTGCTCTTGTAGTTTGTTTTTGACTGTGTACTCAAGCGACAGCGATAGCGAGCGTTACATTTGACAGTCTTGTCCGACTTACTTTTAACTTCAACTACAAAAACATTTTACCAAAAATTCATATATTTAGGAATCAATATAAACGAGCAGTTATTGTTCTTTTTGTGATTAGTTCAAAACAAAATAACAAAAACGCCATGAAAGCTTGTTAATGTCACGTGTTTATTTGTTCTATTGTGTGTTATTTATTAACGGCGTTTGCTTTCCTCCCTTCCATCCCTTCTATGTTTCTCCTACTCAGTTTAACAAATGGACACATAGTGCCAACTCAGCACATGGGTACATACATGTAAGTCTTCCGCTTCCGTATCACCCGTTGCCATGACACCCTAACACACCCGTGCAGTAACACTAACATTTCAATATTTTCCCCAACAGCTTGTAGTATAATATAACGTATAGTAAAAATAATAATAACAATTAACGCTAGTGATGTTTTGTTGTATTTATAGGACAATAGTTTTGTTGTAGTATTTATCAATATTCATAGAATGTTTTAGTTATTAATGCCTGCTGAAATACCCCAAAAGTCACTCGATTTTCAGATGAAATTGAATAAGGGTGTATAAACGAAGGGCGTACTACCATGCAGTGAGCTGTATATATACTACATGTATCTCAGAATCTCGTTTCCAGGTTAAATATTTTGCATGACGACAATCCCTCATTAATCTGCCCTGCCTTAGTAATATCACTAAATTGCATGTTTATACATTGAGGGCGCTATTCAATTCATTTGCAAAGTTTAGGTATTCTTCGCGCCTGATTTTGGAAAACAATTAACAGCGCCCTCGGATTTACGTCATAACCTCTCCGTCAAAATGCTTCATGTTTCAAAATGTTTTTTTTTTTCCTCACAGGAAGATAAACCTAAGTACGTCACTTGTATTGAGTTTGCGCAAAACGGTGACGTCATCACCGGAGACTCTAATGGTAGCTTAACTATATGGTCAAAAGGTAAAAGAAAATGTTTCAATTGCAGCAAAAAAGGAGAACACGGGATTTTACCCATAAGCCTCTTCGAGAAAAAGTACTGGCTGAGCTCATTATTGAGGTATTCCATACATTATTATCATAACCTGTTTTTCGTTCTTGTTTAGATGCTGCAAATGTCTATCGTTCGAAACAAAGAATTCCACACGCACATGAGAAATCTGTCTTCACTCTCTGCATGCTACTTGATGGAACGTTACTCTCCGGAGGGGGTGTGGATAGGAAAATAGTCGCCTGGGATTCACTTCGGGCGTATTCATCAGTGAGAGCAGAACGAGTGGTAAGTTGCTCCATTCTATGTATATCCTCCCACTGAAAATATAAGAAATGTGCTGTACATCGCCGTAACGATGTTATTCTGTTCCTTAAAGCTCCCCGAAGCCGCTGGTGGGATTCGGACGATTACGGCACGGAACACCGGAAGCGCTGACGGAATCTTGCTCCTGGGGACGACACGTAATAATATTGTAGAAGGTTCGCTGCAGATGAAGTTCAGCTACTTAGTTCAAGGGCACTGTGAGGAAATATGGGCGCTAGCAACGCATCCACGGCAGACTTCATTTGTAACAGCGGGCTATGACATGAGCGTTATATTGTGGGCAGCGGAGACCCATAAACTTATCTGGAGAACGCAAATTGAGGTAAGAAACAACAAACAACTTTTCGCTTGCTAACAATTAGATTTCTTCATGCAAATTGGAAAATAAAATTATTATTATTATTATTATTATTATTAGAAATCATGTTTGAGCTGTGCGTTCAACCCAAGTGGATCAGTTATTGCCTTGGCAACCACGGCGGGTCGTTTCATCATTCTAAACGCAGCCACTGGAACGCACATCACGTCCGTACAAGTCGGAAATGAGCAACTTGACGCCATTAAGTACTCGCCGGATGGTAACATCTTAGCGATGGGTTCCCATGACAACAACATATACCTGTTTTCTGTTCTTGATGACGGCAACGTATATCGTAAGATCGGCGTGTTGCAAGGACACGAGAACTTCATCACTCACCTGGATTGGAGCGATGACGGGTACTACCTACAAAGTGTCTCTGGAAATTACGATCTCCTATACTGTAAGCATGTACTCTTATTTTGTCGTTATGTACAATGTGGGTCCCATGCGACGAATACAGGGCGCGTACATTCATTGTTTACGTGACATTCGAACGTGCTGCGTGATGAGTTACCATGCAAAATATTTATTGTTACAGTTATCGTTGAAAATACGTTTCCCCATACTCCTATGTTTTATCTTATTAAATAGAAAGTTCTAAAAAGTTTCAATCCTAACTTTCATTCTCGAAATATACGATCACTCGTTGCTCAAAATAATTTGTTCATACTCATTGCATGTTTTGCTCAAATTACTGAAATGTGTTAATCCAAGAGTTTATGTATTTACAGTTTAATCTATACGAAGGTGAAAACTAAACCATGTTTAATTAAAGTAAATCCCAATGTGCCGCAACAGCTGGTCTATCACGTTATTTTATTATGAATGAAAAATGGTGGTAGTATGTTCTTTTGAAACATATACATTGTAGTGTGATATTAAACGAAATCTAATCATTTTGTTAAAGTTGTACTCTATACTCTCGCAGGGGATGTGAATTCTATGAAACGGGAAAAGGTTGCCATGGTGATGAGAGATGCAGCATGGAAAACACAATCTTGTATCCTTGGATACGATGTGTTAGGTAATAGAGAAAATACAAATATCGTATAAAGCAATCAATTATAGGAATGCATTATTTTCAGTTTCCGGAAATTCGCATGTAAATGTGCCATTATTGAGATATCGCATAGAGCGACAAAACCCCCAAAACTTGTTTTTCCCTTAAATATAGTTTCATCCACCCCCGTCGATAGCATCTTTTGTTCAATCTCTTGGAGAGTGTATTCAAAGTGTTTTCAAATTCACAGGTGTGTGGGCATCCAAGGAGGTTGGAACCGACGTGAATGTGGTGGAAAGGAGCCCCCATCAAGATATATTGGTTGCCGGAGACAACCACGGATTTCTCTCAGTATTCAGATATCCATGTACTTCGCCAAAAGTAAGTGTAATCCAGTGTAATATTGTTTTATCGATTTTTGGTCTAAAAAGCTAAAAACGGAAAATTATATTGTGTCTGCTAAAAATATATGACATATCTTGTCGTAAATTTTCCATTCATTTCATTTTGAGAGTAGTAGTGGGTCTTATATCTTAAACAAACACATCTACAATGTAACTGAACAACTAACCATTAAGGACAAACAAGCTTCATAACTTAGTGTGTGTCCATTGTTTACAAATCTAACTCACTAATAATTAAAGAGACCTGATTAATTTCATAATTCCTCAGTCAATTACCAATCTACGATTTCAAAATTATATATAATGATCCCAGGAAGACACCTCCCAGATTTGAGAAGTGGGATTAACATAAAAACATTTATTAAACAATGGCATTGTATGAGATCACGCTGTTCGTTTGTTTACAAGTTTGCCAACCAATCACTGCGCGCGAAGTGAAACGGTCTATCTGTATTTTTCTCTTGAAAACCATTGTTTATATGCTCGGTATTGCTTGTTATTGGGATATTAATATGGTTTTGTCTTTTCCATTTTTAGGCTGAAAGCCACGATTGTAAAGCTTACAGCTCTCACGTGACCAACCTACGCTTCCTTCAAGACGACAAGTTTATGATATCGACAGGAGGTCTCGATGCATGCGTAATGCAATGGGTATTGGTCGATAAAAATGGACGATATTTCAGCACTGGAGGAAATGAACTATAAACCAATAGATAGTTCAGTTTGACCATTGACCGAAATATCGTCACTTATATGTGAAAAATTGGGAATTGACTAGTGAAGGATTTCTGAGTAGTTCTCTATTCATATTTGCACGACATTCGCATGATTCCGTAAACGAAATAAATTAATAACTGTATTCTGTTAAATTATCCTAATTTATATTATTCTCTTTATAATTTATTCATCAAGTTAAAACCTTAATAAATTTATGAAATCACTGCATTGACCCTTTCACCGTCATTGTTAAATGCTGTCACATTTCACAAAGTAGTTCCCTAATAGTGTCTGCTTGTCAACCAACCCGACAACCGCGATAACTAAACACTGTTTTGAAAAATGATTAATCATAATCTGTAATTTGGGAGTTTCGGTTCAAATCCTACAATGTATAGAAAATGCATAAACGTTTGGGACAGGTTGGCGTATTCGTCACGATTGTTATTTTGCACTATCCACCACTAGGCCTTCATCTTGCGCATACTTTATTCACATTTTCTTACGAGTTTTGAACAATTTAAAATGAGAAAAATAGTTTAACATATTTGACAACATAAAGTTGGCGCTCAAAGGGTCAAGGATTAATTCAACTTCAAGAATTATCTTTTAACTGCACCTTTTTCGCAAATGGCCGTCGAGATCTCGCTGGAAGCGAGCGCCACGAGACTTTGCCCCTAAAATAGTGTTCCATTTCCTTCTGTCATCGCGTCCGCTGTTCAAAAAAACCTTGCTACAGAGGTCAGGGGTCATAGGATGCAATGACATGAGAGAAAAGAACACTATTTTATGGTCAAGAACAATTCTCGTGGCGATCTCGCAATCGTCGAGATTTCGGCGCCCTTTTACGAACGACGTATGTTGCACTTTATCTTTTAAGAACAAATTGCACTATTTTAATGCATGAATTTGGATCTGTCGTCTGAGAGATGTTTCACTGGTCAATTGTCAGCCGGCTATATACATATGTAAATATATCAGCTATTATTATAATTACATTCAATATTGAAATGTTGAATTCAAAATGTTTGAGGAAATATGCTTGACACCAGTAGTTTGTGGCGTTCAAAATGTAATATATATCTATCGAAATTCATATAAAATTGTTTCATATCTTAATATCATGTTGTTCTACCTTGAATGTACATTTCTTTTAAAGTAATTGCCAATTTACATATAATGCATTACCAGGTACAATTAGCTAGGACATACTGGTTAATTCATCACCACGAGTGGATTGAATCAGTACCACAAGTGGGTTGAACCAGTGTCACGAATGAACTAAATCAACACCACGAGTGAATGAATCAGTGGCTTGAACTATGATGTGGGTTGAAAATCATGCAAAATTACTTAAAATATTGAGATGTCATCAATACAGCTTGAGGAAATTACGTCTTGGGACACGTGATGCAATGAAAATAAATAGAACAACATGTTTACTGCATAATACTATCACATACCTTCGCATTTATGTTGAAATAATATGTTTTATATTATATACGCAATTAACACCAACTTTTGATCTTGCCGCATATTCATTTTGATTCTTGAAAATGTGAACTTTTGAAATAAACTGTTGTCACAAGAACTGAAATCATTTTATATTCTACTTTACTGTAAAAAAATATTCACAAATCACCTGAATTTCAAACATGCAAATAAAATGTACATATCTTCAACTGAATTGTAAATAATGGGAACATGTAAACAGTGCTAAATGCAAATATATTTATAACCAAATGTAAAAAAAAAACTTTTAGTATTTTTTCTAGATTTATAAATTATTTTTGTATTTATTTACATTAATATTGATGGTGACTATATGGTGCAATAGGACGAGGTCACGTGACTGTAGTTACCGGGATGAAAGGTCAAT